AAAAAACCAGCCCCATGGTTGGGCCACGGCCGAGATGTCTCGGCCACACCCCAGACTGGCCATGGCCGAGATGTCTCGGCCACAGCCGAGATTCGCAGGTACTACCCTTCACAGGCAAACACGAAGTCTCAAGAGTAGCCTACTCCGAAGAAGTGGGGGCTCGGGGCAGGGATGGATGCCAAAAACAGAAAAGAGAAAAAGAAGAAATAAAAAAGTAAGAAACCAGGAACTTCGAATCCACCTACGTCGGGAAGGCCCTCACCGCACCAGTGCTTTGAGGAATGTATCTGGCCAGGAAGTGAGGAAAATCACAGCATAAGCGATGTTGTTTTTTTCTTTTTTTTTATCTGCTGTTCGTGGATAGACGAGGGCCCTGACTGAACTGCGCAGCCTGGCTGACAATGTACCCATACTTGTCTAGAACCCCTTTTTTTTTTTTGGGGGGGGGGGGGGGGGGGGGGGGGTGGATCGTACAGGGCCAGCTCCAGCTCCTCCCTTAAACCACACTGCTGCGACACTATTTCTTAATGAACCGCCACTTCTTTCTCCTAACCCGGGCCCACCGCAGCGAAATGCTGTGGGCCCACTGTGGGCCTACCGGTAGCAGACCAGGGAGAGAGCAACGCACTCCTTTTCTGCCAGCATTTGTCGTGCGGTGATGAAGACAGCAGAGGTGACAGGTCTTTTTTTTTTTTTTTTTTTTTTGTTGAATTTTAGGTCTTTTGTTTTCCGAAGGGATCAGCACCCAATCTATGTTCCTGATTTTTGTCAGATTCTTTGGTCAAATTTTTTGAGCAAGAAAAATTGCCGAACTCGGCAAACTCAACATGGTGTGAAAAACAGATGACCACTGTTGGCTAGCCACAGGTGCAAAGGCGCACATTTTCAAGGCGTCGGGTACAATGGCGGTTTAGAGTTTTTAGGCGACCAGCCCCGTCGAGCCAGTTTTTCCTGACCGAGATTTGTTGTCGCATGCCAAAGAAAACGAGCAGATGTGGGTGTGAAATATTCTCTTTCTGCCTGGCGTCACTGACCTTTTTTTTGGGGGGGTCCAGCAGGCCGCGCCCTTGCGAGTGCGCAGTGTGTTAAACCAGGCGCAGTATTGGCCGAGCTATCGGCTGCGGCGCTTCCCCGTTAACACGCCGCGACTTTAGGGCAACGGGGTACAGGACCACAATGGCTGGAAGCGCCAGCCCAAAAAAAATGGAAACGGTACCCCTGAAACGGTATTCACAAGTTCGCAGTAGCTGATGCAGATCCCAGGGCTTGATCCCTAGTCCCCACCTTACCTGTGTATAGCACCTGCGTCGACCCCTAGAGTTGAACCCGCGACCTGTGTATTTGTAACAGTTGATAGGTTGTCATAGGGTCCATAGGTAGCATGGGTTCGATCTGTAGACCTCTCTGATAGGAGTCCCAGTCAGGGCAACATCACACCCTAATTAACTCTAATCAACGTCACACCCTAATTAACACCAATTAACATCGCCAACCGTAACACTAAAACACACACAAACCAACACAAACCAACTCAAACCAACTCAAACCATCAAAAAGAAAACGCAACCAGAAAGCTACACTTTCGCCTTTTTTTTCTCTAATACTATAAAGGATATAGAGGGTCTCGCGTGACGGTCCCACGCGAGCACCCGTCGCCAGCGTTGGGAAAAGTAGAAACGGGCCCAGCCTCCCAGGGCCCATGCTCGGAGCGGCCGGCGAAACGGCGCCGTGGCCAAACGGGTCAGGAGCGGGCAGGGAAACAGCGAGCAGGCGGCCCATGCGAGAGGAAGGATCGAAAAGACCCCGCCGGCGGTCGGCGCGGGCCGGCACGGAACAGGTAAGCGGGCGCGACGGGGCGAAAACAGCAGGCCAGCGGTCGCTGTCGGACCGGTGCGGGAGTGGCAAGCGGGCGCTATGGTAAGCGGGCTGTGAGGGCGCAGGAGAGAGAGAGAGAGAGAGAGAGAGAGAGAGAGAGAGAGAGAGAGAGAGAGAGAGAGAGAGAGAGAGAGAG